CAGAGCAGTACTTTCTCATGAACCTCTCATCGGCCCTTCTTCGTCTGACGTTGAGATTGAAGTGTCTCATGAGGAGGGCAAACGTGAGCTTTGGAACCAATGCCTGTTGCAGTTTTTGACAGAATTCTGCCACCTCTGTCTTGTGACCTGCACTTGTGGTAGCATAGATTCGGACGAATTTCCTACAGATGTGTCCCCCATTTCCGTCTTGTTTTATCGAAATTGTCTCTTCTGGCTTTTGAATCTGACCCTTTCGCCTCGACATGAGACTTATTGGGTACTGTGAATTTTTCCTTGAGGATTTACCTTGTGGTACTCAAACGCGGCTACGTCCTGGTTGCGTCGTTACCTCCTGTCTGTGCTTTATTTGTCGCAGCGAACCTTCATATCCATATCCGCAACCCGTTGAATCCCCAGACGGCTAGCAGTTAGGCACACAAATCCAACTATAGCCTTATAAATTCTTCATGATTGACAACGTATAACAAGTATAAATGCCGTAATGACATGGGATCAGATTCGACACTGGCAAGAAGGACCAATGTCTCAAACAAATGCAGATGATCTCTGATGGTCTAACCTCCGTGTTTTGACTTGTGGTGAATGTCTGGTGGAGGGAGCGGATGATAATATCGATCCCGTGATAATTTCAGGATCCATGGCAGGTTTTACAGCGGGACGTTCCAAATATTCAAAGTGGAATCATGGACTTAGGCAGAGATGCCCAAAATTCCTTTGATATTCTAATATTCCGGAGTGAGCATTCAGCGTCCACAAATGTGCATGTCCAGTTAACGGGTAAGGAATCTGACCAACAGTGACTATTCAATCCACCGTGTCGCTAATTAAGCTAGACCTTTCAACAACACGGGTTCAAAGTGTTCAAATTCTGTGAGATAATTAATTCTGTGAGTCCGTTCGTTCCCTTAACCAATAACTGAAGTCGCAAACATAAAAAATTCGGTCACGTCTTCATAAATTGCATCGGAACGTTCCGATCAGACCCCTTTGCCATCTCTTTGCTGCCGCTTAGATTGAAGCACTTTTCAAAGCAGATGGGGAAAATTCTTCGTGCTGCTTTGGGATGGATCGGTGAACTTGCGACTGCTACCACGAAGGAAATGAGCGAGGTATAATCGCAGCTGAGGATATTCTGTAGAAGTAGTCACTACTGCAGCACTAGTTCTCTGACAATCCCTCTGAGGAACTGCAAAACCGATAGTCGTACAGCTCTGTTCAGACTGAGGAGGTGTTAAACTGGCACGACTAAGCCATGCGACCTTCTTTATCCCTCTGAAATCGAGGTTTCGTCATTTCCTGTGTCTTTGTCAAACTGCAGACATAACGTTATGAAGCAGGGCAGGAACAATTAAGATTTTTCAGCCGTTTTTGTCCCGCCAGTTTATCGGTCGAGTTTTGGCAGCGGGTAGCCAAGTTCTCTTCGTCGTCATCGTTGTCTAGACCAGTTTGAACGCCTGGTTTCGACTGCAGCGGCGACCGATGCCTGGCCTTGTCCGAGACGCTGTCATTTGAATATTCGCTTCTGTTTTGTTGTATCGACTTTGACTTGCCGCCATTTTCAAACCTCACCGCCCTCCTTATGTTCTGACGTTCTCCTTCGCTCTCGTGAAGTTTCCCTCGTGCGCCTGTCCACAGCGAGTGCAACGTTCAAACTCGCTTTATGCTTCGGCACTTAAAATCGATAATTCACCATTTCTTTACCTCTTCAAACGAATAGCGCGTCATTAGGACAGATGATAGTTGACAGCAGACATCAGTGAAAGCACGAAGCATAAACAAGTGCAACTGGGCTGGCTGAGAATCGCGCTTAGAGTCTTGATTGACGTTTTGTCTGATCTGCTCTGTCATCATTATGACGAGCCATTGACGCCTTGAATTCCGGTCGAATCGTTCATGGACCGAGCTGGAACTCTTCATGATGACTCACGGGGTCTCGTTGTCACCGAGGTCGTTGACTGGCACGGTTTGCCTGTCGTTGTTCATTTGTGCGTGCCTTCTCCTTTTGATCATTTTCCGTCGTAATCACTTGCCGTTTTAGTCGTTCATCGTTCGTCGAATCGTTTCCTCCTTCCCTGATGGGTGCCTGTTGCAGCGCGAAGCGAAAGAACTCGGTGCCAATCGTCACCCCGCAGACTAAGAAAACCGTAAGCACTGATCTCATCTCCTGTTCACGTCCAACGCGTAAACGGTTCTGATTTTTTTAGACGAAGCGAATTGGCGACATCTCCGATGAGGGTAAGCGCTGGCCGACAGTTTGCTGGTCATTTTTTATACATCGTTTTTTCAGAGGTTGACCTCATTTGCTTCGGTTCTTTTGATGTTGATGATCGGCGACTACCGTCGCTGCATGTGGTTGATCTTTTTGGTGCATTGCTGATGTATGCGGATCGTGCCTCATCTAGCTTTCGCCTTTCCGCCTTGTGGCATTCCATTCCTTCAATGTCGCCTACTCACTCCGTTAATCGTTAACCTCTATCAGCCCCGAGATCAACTGAGGTTAAAGTTTTGTACCAGGCGAATAGCTTCGACTGTTCAACCTCATACTCATGATATGTCGTATTTACCGGCATTTGGCGCCGTTGGTTGGCATTTTGCTTTGCACGCTAGAATGCGGGTTCCAACACAGAGCGCGGCGTGAATTTTCCCTCATCAACACAGAGTGCTAATTAATTCCGTTCAGCAATCAGTTCACCCCGTTGTGCTTCGGTGCAGCCAGCCGAAAAATGGTCGGCAGGTCGCTGACCTTCAAACAGTGGGCAAAACATGCCAGACAGTCGACCATGCTGTCTGGTGTTTGCGCTTTTCCGGTGCAAATCGCCTTGACCCACTTGGTAGCTGTCTAATCATCAGCACAATGTGTAGAAAGAAATTTTTAAAAAATAAGCCAGTTTTCGCATAATATAAATGAGACGCTCCTCCTTCGGCGAATCGCACCGTTCTTTGATTGGTTTCTGGCGGCACCGATGACTGGGCTTGCATCAGTAAGCGCTAATGAGAATATCGTGATCGCCCTGCTTATACGTAAGCCTGTGAATCAGCGGATGTCATTCTGTATTTGACTCAATACAGCAATTAACTGAACATCAAATATACAATTCGCTCTGAAATTACATATGTGTACACTGTTTGCAGAAGGTCATGAAATTTACATAGCGAATGAAATAAAGGCATCAAGCAGCAAGTGTAAACAATATTTTTCGTTCAAGGAATTTCCCCGTATACTCACAACGCTCATTCACGGGATATATCAGTATGCTTGCCAAAATTGGAACTGCTCAGTGATTGAAGAATTCTGTTCGGAGATGATGTTTTGCATCCATGCAGTTCAAGTGATATGATACTATTGGCCGTAGCCTGCATAAGATGTACCCTTATGAGATAAGACACTGCGGGTTTCTGAGACTACGTCGTGCAAAATCAAGGTACTAGCTCGTAGAGATTCGACCGTTTTTCAACAGTTGTACAAAGCAGCTATCAAATGTTATGCAAGGATGTGATCATTTCGAAAATCATGCCAGCTACTTCAGCATCATTCAGTAATGCGATATTTAATTAAAAAAAAATGAAACTGCTTAATCCAGATTCTTAAATCCCAATATATGCTATAAAGTCAAAGGCCGCATTGGGTGGGCACAGTCATCATATTTTAGACCTATGAACAGAACAACTTCTACCAGTGTATAAAGCCAGCTGCTGCCATCATTTTCTGGTTCTTTTATAAGCGTTCCCCATTTCGTTTCTACCTTTGCAAAACTGCTAAGAATAAGGGAATATTCCCTCATTGGAATAAGGGAACAGCGGCACCAGAATCGGGCTTGACACCGTATGACATCCTCCCGTGTTTCCAGTCATATGATAGACCACCACCTACGATGGTCATCGCTCTTCGACCATCGACTACCGAAGTGCGTCGACATATTCTGCGTCATTTTACTGGCTAGACAAAACTTTACAGAAAGAACGTTTTTTGGGATATCAGTTGGAATAGCGGTTGCCTCGTGACTGTGGACAATTGTGGCGCCTTTTTGTTCATGAAGCTTACAGCGCGACGCTTGTCTCCCTTTTTCAAGTCATCACCAAGAAGTGACTATTTTGGAAGGCACAGTCTACAGCAACGTGGAAAGCATAGCATACTGTCTCTCGTTTCTATCTCAGAGAGTGGTGCTCTTTTACCCAACAAGACGTTGCGAATCATCAACGATATTTAAGAAGTTGGTCTTTTGATATACTTCTGCAAAACTTTAAAAATATGTAAAAATTGGTTCGTAGGTGAAGCTACCGAAACTGGATTTCACCTCATGTTGGTGAGGAGTAACTCATCGTTTTCGCATACTCTGGCCATCTAGCCACCTGTGTCCTCCAGCAGCGCAAATATCTTGGTGTCATGACCGTATAAGAACACTCTATAAGAACTTAAGAACAGATAGGAATGAGTACTATTTGCGGTGGAAGCCAGTTTCAGATGAGTCATTCACTTGTTCGGAGTGCGAACACCTTTTTATCTTTACGACACAAAGGAGGAACGAATGGACATCACGTGATTGCGACTTCTTTCACATATGATTTTCAGATTGCTGATCGACATTTGGGCTTACACAGGGATTGAAGATAATTATTCGCCCCGTAATATTTTTCGCTGCAGTCATCGCTCTCTTCTGCCTATCCAAAGCATCAGCACAAATTTTGAGGTTTCAGAGGTTGACACTTCAGAGGAATCCATTCAACTAGCCGTTCACTGATTTTCACAAGGGCTGTTTAATCAGATAAAACATTGGACTCACCATCGAAAGGTTACGAATTAAAAGCCATATCAGATATTAGCATTTCATTTTTTGAGAAAGATAGACGGCTGCTACTCTATGATAAAAGAAAGAAAACTACTTGCTACAGAAACTTGTAGGTCTTGTAATTCTTCAGTGGTTGGCAGAACAAAAAGGCAACAAAAACATAACTGTTTGCTGTCAGTAAACATACTATCTGTCTGATTCTCAGTTAGTGGTGTAGAGGCGACAACAGGGTCTGAACTTCACCTCAAGAATCCTGAACAGAAGAGGTAAGGTCTCATGTCCTGTCACATGGCAAGGAATTCAGCGACTGCGACAGATGGCACAGATTAAATAAAATAAAATGAGAATAAAATTTTCATCGTTCCCTTGACAAAAAATAAGTTGAAAAGCTGAAGTTACTTAAATGCCATTGCTCACTGAATATGGTTCTTCTTTCAGACCACATATGGAACAAATCATTATGTCCTTTTCAAGTCGACATTAATTCAGTCTTCCCTCTTCTTGAGTTTTTTTCCCCGCAGTAACTCTTTGACAGTCCAATTGGAATGTCCTCCTTCATGATATCTACTCAACCTTCATCAAATCTAGCTCAATGGATGCAGAAAAGTTTAACACTGAAAAACATCGGGGTTCCATTTTGTCACAAGGTGTAACACTCTGGAAAGTTTCCGTTACTGATGACTGAGAGCCTCCGGAGCCGGCTGCTGCACCACTTCCACCGGGCTCCTGCGTCGCTACTTCATTTCAAAAGTAAACGTGACCGGCGTGCAATCCTATTGGCCCAAATCGAAGTTAGTTACGGTAACCTATTTAATTTACATGCGATGCGTATTCACTTCGGTATGTAATCCTTGTTTTGCTTTTTACCCAGCCTCTTTGAACTGATCGCGATATTGGATTTATCGTGAATACAGTGAGTACCTGTTGGAATGATCCTAAGACGAATGAAACAATGCAGCTAGTCACAACATTTGTCCACCTATGAAATTTCTTGATATATGTCCATAATCAATCATAGAGACGGTGCGATCTGCAATTATAATCTTCGTTTCAGCCTTCATCTCACATTTGTAACAAAGCAGTTAATGCAAATCATAGCGACTGTTTCTTTTAAATGGCAT